TTTCAATATGAATGATAATCAATCGATGGTTATTTTCTGTGATAATGCAGAAAGAGTTAATTGGTTGGCTGATAAATTGAGTTCTTTGTTCGATGGAGTTCCTGTTTTTGCAATGCATTCATTTACAGAACAATCTGAAAGATATCAAATCATCAAATCGTTTTGGGATACTGAACCACCATCAGTTATGATAACTGTAGATTGTTTTGCGTCAGTATTAGCCTTCAATCCGGTTAAATGCTGCTTACATTTCGACGTCCCATACAAAAAAGAAGATTATCATGACAGGTAAATCATCTAAATAAATAAATGTATATAATGTTCGATAAAAAATAAATATAAATATACCAACAAAATAATAAATATATTTGTATTTATATTATAGATTATGTTGTTGTGGCGGATATGGAATACCTGGTATTAATATTAATCTTGTTAATAAAGAACAAGTATTTGATCTTAATGCTTTAGAACGGTATTATAAAGTACGAAGTATTTCTTTACCAGTAAGTAAAAAAAATTTTTTTTGAAAATTTTTTATATTTAAAAATATTGATTTATTGATTTTTTTTTAATTAGAAGAGTGATCCAAAATTGCTTAGTGTTGAAGAAGTTTGAAATTATTGGATTTGGAATATTTTTATTTTTATTTTTTTATTTTATTTTATTTTATAGCATAGTAATAGTAGTAATAATATACATAATAATTACAATAATATATCATTTTCTATTTGCTAACGTTTATGCAAAAAATCTAAATAGTATAATATAAAAATGCAAGTTTTTTTTATCATAAGTTTCTCCGAAAAAATCATTGGTATTAAATCAACCAACATTCCAATCTGCTTTTCTTTTAAGAATATTGGGTTTCTCCGAGATGTTTTGTTTGTCAACGACCTCATGATCACTCCCGTCGTCTTTACCCCCTCCTTTCCTACGTGGATCAGTTTTATGCGTAACAGAAATTTTTAGGATATAAATGCTTATATCGTCCTCATCAAGTATTTCGTCGTGTTTAACAGTGACACATTTTATACCAGGAAAACGATTTTCTATACGAGCGGAAATCTCTTCATTAAAAATTTCCAAGATTCTATATCCACTGTATTGGAATGGTTTAAGATACTTTTTTAGGTCTTCATTTCTTGGCACTGTGTTGTATAGTTCAACATTCCTATTATTTCTTAAGACGTCCCAACATCTAAATGTTATAAATAACACTTTACCGTAATTTTTACAAAACTCTATAATTGAATCCTCCAATGCAATAATAAATTCATCAAGACAATTTGCATAGTCGATCACATCTAACATTTTTTGATGAGATACAAATGGTATTTGAAAATATTTCATCTCCTCAATTATTTCTTGTCTAGTTACTAAAATTGCTGTTGCCTGATTTGATGATGTTGATAATGACTCTGATGACGACGAGGAAGAGGCGATGGCGGTAGTGGTGGAAGAAGAGGAAGGGGTGAAAAAAGAAGATATATATTCTTCGTATGGCAAAAGAATTTTACCAGTACGATAATATTCAAGAATATAATGAAAGGCTTTACTATTTCTATCAAAGAAATATTCATTTCCATTCTGAGGTCGAAGTAGACCTTTATTACTATCTTTAAACATTGTACCAAGAAGGGTTTCAGGATGTGCTATTAAAGTTGAACAATAAGTTTCATACTAAATAAATAAATAGATATTTATATTAATATGCGTATATTATTAATTCAACTTTTTTTATATTTTATTTTTACCTTTACACCTCCAACGTTTAATATGACACGTTCTTCACTACGTTTGCCACTATTACTACTAGGATCCACCTCCATTTATTTATTTTATTTATCTATTTATTTGTTTATTCATTCACAAAAGTGTTTTTTATATACATTATATAGATGCGAAG